TGTAAGCCGGGAGGTGGAAGACCTAGGGTAACGGAAAGTCACTGCAGATGATTCTCTGCATGGCTGGCTGTCGAGGGTGAGGTTTGTCAGCTTTCTCTGCACTTCAGTTCCCTCTGGAACCTCGGCCCTCGCACTGCCCTACACCCGAATAGAGACCAGTGCTCTACCAAACTGACCTCCAGACCAGAGGGGGGAGGGAGATCAACAAAGAGCCCAGGATTACACTGCATGAGCATCACCATTTAAGGACAGGAAGAGGTGGCCGTGAAGCATGCTGTCATTTTTAATCCACAGGATGCTGAACAAAAGAAAAATTTGGCTGTTCAAATGGAACTCAAGAATTTTTTTTGGCATAAATGGATTTGGATGTAATTGTCTACTTAAGAAAATAATAAGTTAGTCTTACCTCAACAGTGAATATTGAAATTGAACACAGATACTCATTTGTGAGAATTAAAACAATTTAAATACTGTGCACGTGGAGATTCTGCTAACTCTGCCATGGTTCTCTCTCTCTCTCTCTCACACACACACACACACACACACACATACACACACACAAACACACACTGATGGGGGTGGAGAAAGGGGGCTGCCCATCATCTCCTTGTCTTTCCAGCCACTTTTCAGTGGTACTTCTGCCTTAACAACATCTTTTGGTGTGTGGATTTTCAGGCAATTATAAATAGCAGTGATATTACCAAGAAAAGCCTTATTCCATATCCTTGCTTCTAGATACTTCCCGTCACTCAAGTCCAGGTTTTCTTCAATCATCGAATCTCTGTATCAACAACAGTTGTCTGCTTATCTCATGACAGGGATAGGGCGCTGGAGATTCAGAGACAATAACTCAGGTTCTTCCCAGGAAGCCTCTTCCAGGTAGTCAGAGACAGCCACAGAAGCCCACAAGACAGTGAGGGCTGGAAAGGGTCGCGGTACAGTCCATGCGAGATCATAGGATCACAGAGATGGAGCATCAAAAGAGGGTCAGGACGACAAAGGACAATGTTCTCTTGAGAGCTGGGTCTTAGCAAAGAATAGATTGGTCAGAAAAAGGGAAGAGGAAACATGAAGACAGATCTAGAAGTGTAGGTCAGAATGAGATAACTAAATGAGGAATGCTTGGTAGCCTTGACAGTGTCAGAGGAAAGCGTCTGACATCATAGCGCCTGGGTTTGCCACATGGGTGTAAAAGAGGACAGGAAAAGGGCAGAGGAAACAGTGGAGAGAGTGGAGTCATGCGGGCAAGCTTCCAGTCAGATAGCTATTTGAGCCCAGGCACTAAACATGTAGAAACATGTACTACTGGGGAGAAGAACGCTACAGGACTTGGTACCTGATTGGATGGATGGGGTAAGAAAGGGATCAGTTTAAAGTGACTCTGGCTTCTGGGTTGGGTGACCGGGTGGAAAGTAGTGTTCTTCCCTGAGTCTGGGAATGCTGCCAGAGGCCGGGTTTGGGAGTCTGGTAAGGCACGGGTAATTAAGGTTGGGCCATGGTAAGTATGAGATGGGTATTAATATCCAACTGGGGATTCTGTGGACAGTTGACTGTTTGAGTCTAGACCATGGTAAAGATGTGTGGGCTGGAAAGGATGTTTGGGCCAGCACTAGGACATCCACAGATGAGCCAGCACAGGACCATATGACCTGTACAGTCACACAGGGCTCCACTCTAAGAGGGCCCCGCTTTATTTAATGATCTGTTGTTCACCATCTTGAAACTAGTAATAATTTTTGAGTCAGAGCCTGGAAGTTGAAGTTAGGAGACCATGTAGGAAATGGAGGAGAAAGTTCAGATTAGCTTTACACAGAATCTGGACAAGAAGGTTACCCCTGGGATTTGTCAGACATTGACTTTCTCCTGGTTCTCAGTATCCTTCTGGCTATTTTAACACTAGTCTCCAAACTAGGCCTTCCTGGCACCATTTCAAGTTTACTCTGTTTCTCTATCCTGTGAACATCCCCACTCCCCAAGGCCATTTGGTATAACATAGTTCACAAAGGCAGTGCTGGACATCTTACTTTGGTAAGTAGTGACGGGGGTCTTAAAAGCTCATCAACAGCCACCTAAGATGTAAATATTGGGCCCAGAGGAAAGAAAAAGGATGAAAATGAAACCTCCATGGAAACAATTAGTCCCAAAGGACTCATGGACCACACAAACATCAGTCTCCACAACCCTGAGACCAGAAGAACTAGATGGTGCCCAGCTACCAACTGCTCTACACAGGCTCACACTGGAAGGTCCTGGAGGGAGAGAGGGAGAGAAAAACGTAGAAGAGAGCTCAAAAGCATAGCAAATACCAGGCTGATTAGCTGGATAGTGACGGGACTCTTAAGACTTTGGCCCTTAGGCACCTTCAGGTCTGGAACTAAACTCATCCCCATGTTGGAAAAAACCATTTAAGATAAAAAGGCAGCATTTACCTAAGGACAGAGGGTTAGAGAAGAAGGAGGAACGGAACCAGAAACACTGGGAGGAAATGGGAGAAGGATGGCACAGGCACAGTAAGGGGATTGCAGTGGACGAATTGAACCAGATGTGTGGAAAGTATTGAATATAGAACTGGCGATCTGCCCTGTAATTCTTCACCTAAATCACAATAAAGCGTTAAAGGAAAACAAAAGAGAACGCCCTTATAGTTCTTCTCACTGATCATTAGGACAAAAGCACTTTGAATTCACAGACACAAGTTTGTCTTTGATGGATGTCATCTTGGGGGTGACTACAATGTCAAAGTAGCTCTGGGTCTGTAGGAAGGGGTCTTTGATTTGCTATATTTTAGGTAGCATAATAGAAGTGAAAGATGTTTGAAGCGAGTATTACTTCAAGAGGCATCCTCTTTCTAAAAGAGTCACCTCCCCCAGCTTGTAGTTTCTCACAGCTTTACTATTTTTTTTGCCCTTAGACCCATAAATTCTCTAACCCCTCCAAGATTGTTTTGCCATCTTTTCCTCTGCCCGTCTCGCCTCTGCCAGTTTCTATGGCAGCAGCAACTGGGGCACAGGTGGTGAGGGCTGGGGGGTGGGTCATGACAGCTGCAGCCATTTAACAGGCTTGTTTATAAATCAGGGCCTGCCTCTGTGGTAGGGGGTGGGGGAAGGGGTGCCGCCAGGGGCTTCTGGGCATAAAGAATGCAGTAAAGGATGAGAGCCAAGTAGGCATTGGCCCAGGGTTGAGCACGTGTGGGTATTTCCCATGTTTGTGGACCTTTCCAGAGAAATGTGTCAGGCCCACAAGTCTCTGGCTTTCAGGTGCAAGAGAGCTGTTGGGTTCAGATGGAATGCAATTCCCCAAGCAACTTCCATTTGTCATAGAAATGGCAGCATTCTGCCACAACCGATCAATAGCTGGAAAGTGGCTGTCAGGAACTATCAGAAACCAGAAGGTCTGAGAACAGGAGACACCACTGGGAAGAGGCCTAGGGAAGAATGTTGCACAGTTACTGATCCTGCAGCCTCGCCTTTTGGCATCGGCTTTGGAGAAATGCTGTCCTTTTGAAAGTCTTTTACATCTGCAGCAGCTCTTGGGCACAATTCTGGGGTGTGTATGAGTTTCCCGAGCCTGGCTTTTCCTGGGCACCAGAAATCTAGGCCAGTCGGTCTCTGATTGCACATGACTGTACAAGATCACCTTGATCTATGCATTGCTGCTATTCAAAAGTAGATTTCCAGTACAGCTAAGGCTGCCCTGGACCTGAGATTCAGCCCTGCAGTGAGGTTGCTTTGGTAGCAAGCGCCCAGTCGAGGGGCGTGCTGCTGGTCCACGGGCACATTGAATCTAAAAGTGTAAAGCTCCACTGACATGCTAGTCAGTAGGCACATGTGACTATTGGAATTTAAAGTTAAAACTAAATGAGTTTAAAAATGCAGTTACTCACTGCACTGGACATAGGTCAAGTACATGATGGTCACATCTGGCTATTGAAGTTGTGGTTGTTTGGTGCAGTTGAGTAGACGTCAACTCATAGTGTCTCATGGGAAAGAAGTAGAATGGCCCCAAGGGTATTCTGAGCTGGAGCCCTAACTCCAAAAGGCAGCGGATCGCCAGGTCTGGGGAAGGCTCACCCCACCGCCTTTTCGGTTAGCAGCCCAGCACTGCACTGCTGTGCCCCAGGCTCCTTCCCATCTGGCTGTTGTTAGTATTAGGTTTTGCCCAGTTGGTTCTGATTCGTCCCTATGCACAACACAGCAATACACGGCCAGGGCCTGCGCCATCCTCACAGCTGTTCTGTTTGCTCCCGTTGCTGCAGCCACTGTGTCCATCTGTGTCACTGAGGCGCTTCCTCTTTTTTTAATACCATGCCCAAAGCATGCCACCCTCGCCGCTGAGGAGCCTCCTGGCTGTGCTTCCTGGAAGACAGATGTCACAGCTGGCTCATGCTGCCATGTTGAATAGCACGTTAAGAAACATTCTCATCAGCACAGAAGGCTCTGTTCCATAGCACCGGGCCAGGGTGAGCCTCTGGTGCATCGTTCATGCATTCATTCCTTCATTCATCCATGTATTCACGGAGCAGCTCTTTTGTGCCAGGCCCTCTGCTCAGCCCTGTGACGGTCAGGCTAAGCTGACAAAGCACATAAACATACAGTAAGTAGAGTGTGATGTGCTTAAAGTAGAAATGTCTGCACCAGAGTGAGACGGAGTCTTGGTATCTTGGTAGTGCAGTGTTTAAGCACTCGGGTCTTAACTGGGATCAGCCACTCCCCCAGGAAAGAAGGCCTGGCTCTCTGCTTCCAGGAACAATTAGAACGTAGGAAACCCTATGGGGCAGTTCTGCTCTGTCATACAGGATCGCCAGGCACCGAACCCAACTAGACCCCACACACCACTGCCACCATGGCAAGTGAGGCAGAGCTGATAATGCGGAATTCTTCCTTGCAGGTGGGAGAAATGTCTCCGGGGCATTTCTTGTGTCGTCTGAACCAAGCCATGGTTCTCACAGAATCGGGGTACTTAATGGACTGACTGATGATGATGCCTTTTCACCGTTTCAGGGCCATAATCATCAGAAGTGGAGAAATCGTCCCCATGTCTTCAGAATTCACCCCGGAGACCGAGCGCCAGCGGCTTCAGTACCTGGTAAGAGCCCCCTAGTTTAGCAGAAGGGAGTGGTGTCCGTGCTGTGTTGGAAGAACCCGTTGCTGTTGACACGGAGCAGGCTCGCAGCAGTAAATGACATATGGCATTAACTCCCCCTACACACCTTCTGGATCACACATCCTGGCTCCGGGCGTGACGACACACTCCACCTCCATGAGTTTATTATTGTGGCTGATTCTCTCCCACCTGTGGCCAACGGAAGACACGCTGTGCTCGCCTTCTTTTACTGGTTTGAGATTTACAATGTGAAGTGGGGTTTTGAAGACAATGGGTACCAGCTTTCCTGGCCTGCCCACCCACTGTAGCTTAACCAGAGGGGGTGCGCATGAATCCCATCGTGAGAAGGAGGGTTTGCTAGGCAAGGTGGCTCCTGAGTTCCCGCTGACACCCGCTCTCATGCTCAGAGACGAGGTCTGAAGAGGCCCTTTGGGGCAAACGCAGGTGTCAGAAAACCTGTCTCTACCCTGAAAATAGATTCTTGATAGAGAACCTCATCCTTGAAATGAAATTATGGGAGGATCATAGGAGAACTAAACCAGCCCTGGTAATGCAGAGCTTAAAGAAGTGGCTGCTAATCCAAAGATCAGTGGTTCAAACCCAGTCGGAGAAAGCTGTGGCAGTCTGCTTCCATCAAGATCCCTGCCTTGGAAACCCGATGAGGCAGTTCGGCTCTGTCCTGTCGGGTCACTAGAAGTCAGAATCGACTTGGCCGCAGTTTCTTTTGCTCTGTTTGTAGAGTTGTTTGATTTTGCAGATCTTGATAACTTTATGCTTCATTTGCAGATTTGCGTTCTGTGGGGAAGTAAGAGATTGACTGTCTTATCCCCAAATTTCAGAGGCAGGGCGTTCGCTTAGGGTCTCAATTAAAAATGGCTTTGGTTGTCATCATGGGTCTCTATCTGTGGGCAGGCTTGGGAGCTAACCCTGTGAGTAGTTCTGTGGATGGGACTTTTTTTTTTTTGCCGACCGGCTTTCTTCTTAGGCAATATAACGAGAGAGGGGACTTTCTGCTCTTAGAGAAGAAAGTCTGTGTGAGTGCACATAGCAGTGTTTCATTCCTTTGGTTGGTTTAGAACATCGCTGGGCAATTTCCTCTCATTTTCCTCTTTTTTCCCCTTGTCTGTATTTTTGCTTTACTTTTCAACTAAGCTTTGTCGCATCTACTGGGTATCTGGTGCCGGCGATAGCAAAAACCCCAAACTAACGTCACGATAGCACTTTGAATGCTTCTCCACTGTTTCACCTGCTGGTGTTTTCAAACCAGCCAGTGAACCTGAAGCCACTCCCAAGGAACCCAGACTGCAGCTCTCCTCATTCGCCCTTGGCAGCCTAGACAGACGGAAAAGACCCTGCGACAGCCAGCAAGCCTTCACTCCAGGACCAGCTCTGTCACTCAGCACTTGGGTGGCTTTGCGGACATTGCTCAGCTTCTCCAGGCCTGGGTTTGCCACTTGTGCAAAGGAGAGCGAGAGCACAGGGTTACCCAGAGCCTTTGCTTTACAAAGGTTCTTCCACACAGAGCTCCAAGCAGCTGGCCTCCCTGCCACCTGTGTGGTTTTCTCCACTCCATCTTCCATAGCATACCAAAGGGATTTTATCACGGACCTAATCACTTCCTTTGCCCCCACAACTTACAGACCAAAGGAAACGCTTGGTGGCAGATCTAGTATCAGAGTCCCTGGCCACAGCTACTCACCAGGCATCCCGTGCTTCCATCACAGAGAGCTTCCTCCCATTTCCAGGATGCACCATGACCTCAGCCCCATGGAGGCCTCTGGAAATATGCTTTGCCTGTGTGGCCATTCTCTCTCTTCTCTGTCAGGAGTGTTTATCCCCTGAGACCTCTGCACAAATGTCTCCCCCCTTCCTGTGGCCGAACCCGTGCCCTTCTTATCTGTCCTCACACGGCACTGTGCAGTTGCTTGTAGGATGGCTCTGTCAGGCATTACATTGCTGCTTAGCATTTCTGTCTCCCTCTCCAGACTGAGTTCAGGGGACAGGCTCTTGACCTTGGTCACCCCACGTTGCCAGTGCCTTGCACCAGTGCCCCACACAGCAGCTGGTATGTATCCCAGTTCATTGACTGAATGAAAGCAAACGCCAGGGTCATTATGGACTTCTGGATCATTGTCCTATCATCTTCCCCATCCACCGACCCTCAAACCTGGGCACCCTGCCTCCACCCTTCCCTTCTGCATCAACTCCTGCCCCCTTCTAGAGGCAATGAGTAACAGCAGGCTAACAGTTTTCATTTCTTGTTCTGAAATTATACCATACTTCAAAGTTATTTCTAAAAAAATAAAAAGCATACAAAGAGCTTGAAAGGTTCATTTTTTCGGAGGGCTGGGAATGCTCCAAGTTTTCAGATTGCTGACTATCCGGTGATGCATTTTGGGCTGGGTTCTCTGAGTGGTGCTAGTAGTTTGCATGTGACCGCTAACCAAAAGGGTGGTGAGTGTGGTCTGCCCAGAGGAGCTGTCCCCTTCCGTAAGGTGGCAGCCATTGAAAATCCCCTGGAGCCCAGTTCTCCTGGGCACAAACGAGGCCGTCGTCAGCCGGAATCAACTCACTGGCAACTGTGATCTTGTAGGAAAGTTGGAATGACTTGCATCTGGCTTCCACCTTCAGCTTTGTCAATAGCTACGTGCGTGTCAGGAGTCTAGGAAGGCATGCACCAAGATAAGAAAGGCCCACGAGCAAAGAGTAATACTGACGGCAACGTATTTGGGCACGGTAGAAGGGCCTTAGCGTAGCATTATCTCGTGGTGAAATCTTTATGGTAAAGTATTTGAGAGACGTAGGAGGTTTAATAGCACACAATCCTGAAGACAATACCCACGGTGAGAGAACCGGACTGTGAGGTGGGCTTCTCCCAGCTGTGTGACCGCAAGCCCTTCACCGGGGTGGGGGTGGGGGTGTTTCTGAGCCTTCTTGCGAAATGAACACTCCCTGGAGATATTCCTAACATGCCTGGAATTGTGAATGAAGGGTCAGCCTGTGGTGCTGCAGGGAGCTGTCTTGTCTTTTTCAATGTGCCTAATCCTCCCCATGGATGTCTTTTTGAAACCTACGTTCCCATGAACTCATTGGTAAACCCTGCAGCGCCGACACAGCTTCTAAAGTAG